TGAGATTTCTTGCCTCAAGGTGGCAGTTGGTCACCGGGCCGGTCGATAGGGCCCCTCGGCAGCATTTGGTCACCTTCCGTCGAGCGGGTAGAGGAGGGCTCACTGCCCTGTGTTCGGCCCTGGCCAAGGGCATTTGTGTGCGATGTTGCAACCTCTACACTAGGTCCATACTTATCCTCCTTCCTAACGCCAGCAGTACTCCTGGAAGCCCTAGGCAGTCGCACACATATTGGCTCACCAAGGGGGTCAGCATTGTTTGCGGATGAGGCCACTACTAAATGTAGGTGGTCCCCTTGGTTCCCAGCCTCAGCTGCTTTTCCACCACTGATGGGAGGAACAACCTGAAGGGAAGGCCTGCCTGTCGGAGCCGTCGGCCGGTTCTCCCTGCTGGGGCGACGACCACCATGTCTGGTGTCCATCTTGTCTTGACCTGAGGCACTCGCTGGGTTCTCCAGAACTTTCCCTGTTCGGTCAAGCGGGGGTGTCAGAGGTTGACCAGCCCCTAAGGGTTCATTGCTCGATGCAGACCGCATCGAGCGGCAGAAATCCCCTCCTACGCCTTTGGCGTTTTGCGATTCTTCATCCTTAGTTTCTTCAACAGGTAATGCGGCAAAAAAGTTGGTATATTGTTCGTACGGAGTACCTACATACGTAGCATGAGTCCGACTAATATTACAGAGAGGCGCACCTGATGAAACTAAGTCCTTTGCTGACGCCGGCTCATCTTTTGACGACTTCTCCTTCTCCTCCTTGACCTCTTCCACTTTTGTGTCTTTCCCTAGCTCCTCCTTCTCGGCTTCAGCGAGTAATTGGCGGAGTCGTTGGACATTGGGCTTTTTATGCGGTGGGAGTTTGATGGGAAGCCACTTGGACTTATCTATGGGGCACTTGTGGTCTCGACTCCACCTGGTGTTTCCGCATTTGAAACACCGCTTGTCGCTCCGTAGTTTGTCGATTTCCATTGGCTGTCCCGTGCCACCGTAAGTCGTTCCGGTGGCATCCTTCTTATCGCCACTCGTACCCTTTTGTGATGATTGATTGCCCCGACCCGAACCTTGGTTCAAGGAGGACTTACTGCCCAGTCCCTGGGCGGCATCGTACCGATAATTCGCGTCAATCCTAAGGACGCGCGCTTTCCACTGTGCGTAGGTCGTGGGGCGTTCGTTGTCCCCATGCATAACCGTTTTCCGCACCGACGGTCGTATTGCGGCTTCTACCGCTTCGAACATCTGCTTCTCGTCTCCGAACTCCACGCACTTATGGGCTAGCCATTCGAACTTCGCGAAGAACTCCACCGCGGACTTGAAGTCGGACTGACAGATCTTCTTCCATTCTTGCTTCCATATGGTTAACTCAGCCACCTTGCGGAACTCCACGGTTAGATCATGGGAGAATTCGTCCCACAAGGGGAATCTCCAGTGACCTTGGGGGTCTCGGTAGCGATAGTACTGGTCAACCCACCACTGCTGTGCATCTCCCCATAGATATCCCTGGGCGAACGTGATACGATAAGGGTTCTGCCCTTGATCGTTCACCGTATAGTACATGGGGAATACCGAGAAGTACACCTCACAGTGGTGCAGGAAGCGGGTTATGTCCGAAGAAACCCCGGTAAAGTATTCTGGTTGGGTCACCAGTTTTGGTTTGATGTTATTCCAGGGGTTGTTTATTGCCCCCGGGGCCAGTTGCCATGGAGGGATCGGGTCCGGAGGAGGAGGTGGCACCAGCGGGACTGGGGGGTTCGGTGGTCGAGGTAGTGACCGTAAGTGCGGGTTGCCGTGAGGCGGCGGGTACCCCTCAGGATACTTGGGGGGCAGTGCCGACGACGGTCACCTGGGCACTTCAGGCTCCTTTCCCTTTTTCGATGGTCCGGCACCTGGGTCGTCCCACCCATCACCCTCATCGTCCTCGCCCCCCGCGCTGGCCCAGAAGTCCACTGTTTCCAACGGGTTCAGCATTGGCTGTGGGCGACGATAGGCATCACACCCTCTCTTTGCTGCTTCAGGGTGCACTTGGTTCCATACGAGGGCTGCCCAATGCCAGGTCTCCACTTCTAAGATGTTCTTCATCAGGTACATGTCCCCGGTGTACCTTGCGCTGCGGTAATCTTCTCCCGCCTCGGTGAGGAGCCACTGCGGGTCCTTCTCCATGTCTTCCATCATGATCTTGTACAATCCTTCCCAAGGAAGGATATTGAATATTGCAGGGGTCGCCGCCCCGGGCCTAGAGAGAACTACTTGGACCGCATCCATCACTTGCTTCTCGAGGGCCATGTTCGGGGGCCTACTCGGCATCCTTCCCCTTCGACCCCTCTCTGGTACATCGATCGATCTCCCTGTTTCGTCTCCACCTCCCGATGTCTGAGTCCTCGTCGTTGATTTCGGACTCATAGGCGTTCCATGCCCTCCTTCTGGCCTCAAGGTCGGTTCCAGCTCGGCGGGCATTTCCGGTGTAACGAAGGGCAGCGGCGCGTCGTCGGTTATCGACTTCTGCGGGGGTGGCATCTGGCTCGAGGGGAAGGTCGTAATGCCTGTGAGGTCTGATGAGGGCAGCAATTTCAGCCCTCCTGATGCATGCATCATTTTCTCCTGCGGCGTCCATCCTGGCCTGAGCTTCTGGGGCAAGCCTGGCAGCAGGGGTGAGCTCGAGTGACTCGATGAGCATGTGGTAGAGTAGCGGCCATGGATGCTGGTAGCAAGGGACGGGGTCGGCAAATGCTCGCCCCGCGACTGACGGTGTGAAAGTGGGGACGGGGGCAAGGTCCCCAGTAATTGCTCCAAGCTCTTCGGCATTGTAGTCTGGGAACTCAGACCAGAGCTGCTCATCTGTCGGTTCACTCCTGGAGACGTCGAGGGACGGCGGATCGGCTTCTGGTACGGCAGGGAGGGGCCGCTCGGTCGACTCTCTGGCCACAGGAGTTTCTTCCCTTGACTCGGCGTAGACCCAACTGGTTCACGGGTACCAGGCGACGGGGGGACCCCTGTCCGTAGGCCAAACAGGTCCAATGACCCTGGCTCCATCTGTACGGGAGGTAGTCACAGCAGAGGCCCCAAGGGTAAGCTCTCCGGAATCGTCGTTGAAGTCGTCTTTGACTCTCCCTCTTGCATACCTTCTTCCTTCGCTTCTCCAGTCGGCGTCCGTCCACCTTGTCTGGGATCGCCCGCTCCAGGCGTCTCCGGTATGGGTTGCATCTTCCTCCTCGTTCGGGTAGAGGTCACTGAGGAGGTCTTCGAGTCTGATTCTTTCAAGCTCTGTGAGCTCGTCCCCTTCGAACTCAGTGTCAGTGCCTTCTTCGTCCTTGACCACAGGCCCGCTGGCTTGTCCTCTGCCTCCGTCGGTACTTGACTTGCCTTCGACTGGAGACTGGTCGAAGAGACCTGGTAGGGGCGAGTCTCCTCGGTCGAGGAATATGCCCCGGGTATCGGTGATGTCGACAGAGTCGGCTGATTCTGCGGTAGCGCTTCTGTAGGAGTCGGTGCTCGATTCTGAGTATCGCGAGCTGGACTGCGACGATCCGTATAGGGACCCTCCAGGTTCTCTGGGTGTGATGGGTCTGCCATCATGTAGAGTTTGTCGAGAAGCCTCTGGAATTATGATTACTGGAGGCGGGTATGCAGGTGTGCTGGGCACGTAGTGGAAGGGAAGCTGAGCACGGACCCTCCTCTGTTGATGGCAACAGCGGTGTATTTGGTACAAAGAGATGGATAAGAAAAAGAGTATAAAAATTGTGGAGATTGCGGGAATGGCGTCGGACAAGGGCATCCATACGTGAATCTATTCTTCATACAGTCCAACGGTTACAATTAACCATGCAACTGTTAGAATGGGATAGAGTTCGTTGGTTGTGATCAGCACGATGATGGCTGATACAGCAACGGCTTGTAGGATAACAGTGAACGGCGTCAGTTTGAAGAGAAGGAGGGGGTCCTTTTTAGAATCGAACGATTCCAATGTACAGTCCTACAAGGTAGGCCACGAGTAAGGGAGCCGGGATGTAGAGCTGACACAGGATGATGGTGATTGCTACCCCAATCAACGCTAAGGTCAACGGGTCTTGCAATAAGAAGGGCAGGGCCTGGAGGGCAACTGCAAGGAGTATAAGAGTCGGGTAAATGGTGGGCGCTTTTCCGTCGGTCCACTCGCAATACGCTAACAGCCACGGGACTGTCCTTGCGAACGTATGGCAATGACCTCTTCTGGTCAAGTGAAGGAGTACTGGTTCGTGCTCGGCAATGCATGCTGATCAACGTATAACGAAGATGGGTAGCACGCAATGCGAGTTTTGGAATAAAGCTAAGAGTTGTTGGGCAGCATTCGTTCTCAGACGTGGCGCCGGGCAACATTGATACAAGCTTCGGCTAAATGTTATCAACCAACTAATAATCGACTTAGATCAAACTAGGATCACCACTCGCACTTTGGTGGATGATACTCTAGCAAGTCAAAGGCGACGTCAAAGTCGATGGAGGGCAAATAGACGCGAAGAACGGAGTTCGAGTTGGGTAGATTAAACCTTAGCCGAAGCTGGGGTTTAAGCCAGCTGAGGCTCTACTTAAATACACGTTGGTATGCTAATAATAGTACTGTGAGAAATGATCCGTAGGAATCGCATATGAGTAATCCTGCTGAGTAAAACAGAGAAAAATGAATAAATCGTATAAATTGTAACACAGGTTTCCATGCAGAGTATCCCCTTCTTCGCAGATTGGGTATTTTGGAGGTCCTGGAGAAGTTCAACCAATGTTTGACTTCCCATATTGACCACACCAAATTCGTTCATATGTCGGTTATAGTGCTGCAGCATAATACCCGCATTGTCGGTGAAGAAGTTCGTGCAGATTTTGATAGGAGAACCTTCCTATGAGTTCGTCATTTGCTCTGTAAGAAGTTCTGCTTTCATTTTGATGTATGGTAAAACACGAAGAGAAAGGTTGACACATTAACATGGAAAGTTAGTAAAAGAATGTGCCTATGAGCGGACTAAAACAAAAGTATTGGACCTAAACGTGCTGCAGAAAATGGCGATTGAGAAAAGCTTTAGAAACTACCTCTATACCCTTGTATGTTCTGACAGTTGTCTGCCATAAGTGAATGTAACTCTTCCATTCTGCCTGATTCAGACACTGACCTTTCGGATCTGCTGTCAAGTACATCTGCACTCGACATTGATACCAGTCTTCCGCATCAGGACTCCAGTGCCCAAGGTCAAGGCTGGAATTTCTAAAGCTGCATTGCCTTGGGAACCAGGATAGATCCTGTGTGAATGTCAGCGAACCTGCTGATCCTGCTGCGCTCCTATAGACCCTGTATACCCCACAAAGAAGGTCGATTTGATCCTCAGTAAGGGTCTCTTCCCAAAGATCATAGTCGGGTTCGGTTCTGGCACTACCCTGAATTCTGTGACATTCCCCATAGCGAGATATGTTCCCTCCCAGTCCAGACAAAATAAACTCAGGGTCCTGCACGTGTTCCATGGTGATGTGCCAAATCAAGCCACCATGCATTAAGGCAGCTCTTGCAATAGCCGGATCTTCTAATAAGGTGCTCCTTTTTTGAATATAGTATGTGTAGTCCAGAAGTTCCAGTTGAAATCCCATGGGCCTGTATGGAATGGCGTCGCAGAAGCAGCTGCATTGTAAACCACTGTTATCTCCATTTATGCACATACTGAATCGAGTTCCATAACAGCACAATTCTTCCACAAAATCATCCAAACAGGTCGCGTCTTGGAGCCGGAAACAATGGAGAACGTCCATCGCATGATAAACAACAAGTCTGTACCGATTAGTCTTTGGAGGAACAGCCGTGATCTCATACCCAATCCTGTTCTCATGACACCAACAGATAGCATGTACAGAGAAGTCAGGCTTGGATTTCGGCGAAAGATAATGTGATGCTTTCCGACTTAGGTCCCAACATTCGGATGGCATTCGACTGGGCAATGCGGGTTTTCCATTGTTCTCTTGTCAAGCAAGGAAGGATAACCACTGCAGACCGTTAAATATCTTGAGCATCATGGATTTGCAAGGGTCGGATAATGTATTGGTTGGTACAATGGAACATCCAACATCTCTCTGCAGTTGTAATATTTTCCGTGTTTTGGTGGGTGTCATGTCAGTGTTTAGAATCGACAACGAGGGTGATGATGGTGAAACCGATGGTAAGACAGGAATGATTCCGAAACAGAATTGAAGGGCGTCCTCCAAAGAACAGAGTGAAAGAGATTTCGGATACAGGTCTTTTGTGCAGGTTCCGTACATCCTGTCGTGTACCATTTCCCATTCCTTTACTGTGTGCCAGATTATTTCAGGTGGGGGTCCCGCAGAAGGCACACAGATCTCGCTCTCTTCCATTTTGTCATTGTCGTCGTCATTCACTGACATTACACTGCCTCGGTTTGCATGAACATCAAACTTGTGGTTTAGATCCCACTCATCTAAGAATGGAGAATATCACCTCTGTGACAGCGCATACTGATTCCAAAGTCTGTTAACATCTGCTGGAGCTACACGTTGATGGACTCGGTGGCCTCCTCTGATATCGCACCAACAGAAGACCTTTGCATTGGCACGAGGAGGTGGCTGGTCCTCTATATAATCTTCCGGATTCTGGTGATCTTGCCTGCCATGAACGTGTTTGCGAAGTGAATGTTCTTCTGTTTTGAGCACTGTATGGCATGACTTCCCGTTTCCTGAATACTCAGGTCCGAATCGTTGCTGTTGATATTCCGCTCGAATGAGTCATGTATTCTAAGGGCAGGGTGTCATATGTAGTACTGAGATGACATCCTGGTATCAACAGCTTGGAATGGTGATTCCGACGGACCCCAATCAATCCACACTGGAACCTGCCACCAGTGATATGCATGTAAAAAGTGGGCGAAACTACAGGTTCGGGCATCTATGAAGAGTCCAACCCTGAGAGCCTGGTGTTCACATCCTTTCCGAAAGCCCGTGTCCTGTTGTACCAGCCATGATGATCAAATCAAATCAACCCAATTGCTGCCAATTTTGTCCGTTAATGCAGCAGACCACAAGGGAAACTGATCCCTGCCTGTGTTTGGTAGCACATCTAATTTGCTAGAACCGAGTGCCAAAAGATAAGAAATTTCCACTGCCATTATTATGAAAGCATCTCGAGATTGCATAGCTGTGCATGCCATCGCTTTTCTGCTACGTTTCGCGTGGTGATAGCCATACTTCCACGGTAGGGGAAACCTGATGTGACCCAAATTTGTATTCGGTACGAATGTGCCATCCAATACTGTTCTCAAGCACTGGAACAATGCTTCGATGTTTTTCCACTTATCAACGACTGTGTCATCGACCACCCATATTCCAGGAGATGGGGAGAAAACGGGAATCAATTGGATAGTGTAATTCAGGGGTTCAAATAGTTCGCACTGGAATACTGATTCGCGATGGACAGGTAAAAATCCTTGGTATGGCATGGCATTTGAAGCCCAACAGCGATCAATGAAGTCAGCTGGATTAGAAGGCCAAAGCATGTTAGGGTCCTCGAAACCATGGTGATCCACTTGGAGTATAGGGGGAAGGGTGTCAGAACAGACACAGTAGAACAGATGATCACAGTTATCTTGAATAGTCATGCCGTTGGGAATCATGGATGATGATGACATGAGGTGCACATCGCTACCATTACTGCATCAGTTTCTTTTAACATAAATGCCATTTAATTGCGTTTTACCTCACAGGTGAACAAAGGATTCCAGGATCTTGAGCTTCTGTCTTTGGATAGGCCTAGAATTATCGTTTGACTCGTTATGCAGACAGGCAGACAAGAAGATGTACAAGGTTAAAAGGGGAAAGATGACGTTCTGTTCCTGAAGCAGGCAGAGATGTCGAATGAACGAGTGGTTTAGAGCAACACATATTAGATGTTTGCAGTGAAATCAACCACTGTGTAAGACAAGCAATCTCTTGGTGGTATTGGCTGATTGGTGATGGGGACAGCAAAAAGACTTTAAAACTCCGATGTTTGTGTCCTCTCTGGCCTCATATCACCACCAAAACCTTTGAAAAACTCGATCCCAGTCCCTTGAGTTATCTATCATCTTTCTTCCTTTCATCCATGGTCTCTGGATCTAGAAATGTTGCACAAGATTGAGTCATGGGTAGTGACTGGAACTCTGATTGCCAGTCAGCCTATTGTCCCTATTGTCAGAGATCACGATGTCCAAAAGAGTATGTGATTCTGGTTAAGTTCAAATATTTCGGTGCTGATGCCTCCATTCAGAGATGGTCCAGCATCACAATATCATGAGATATATCATTGGCATTGCTTCCGCAGACAATGATCAACTTCATCCCTCGGCCAGTAGCCAGTTTATCATCGGACCGAGATCGGAGTGGACTCCTTATTCCTGCACGCTAGTATGTAAAGATTGGTTTTACTGGGTGCAACCGGCATGCCTTAGTGAAATCTCTTTCAACCATGGTGATCATGGTGATCTCAGTGGTCACATCCTTCCTGTTGTTTTTGCGGATGGTTTTACTGCTAGCTGTCTTCCTGATTGGGCGGCCTATATCACTTGTTTGACCATACATCTCTCCACTCTATCGTCATCATCGTGTGGTAAAGATGTTCAGACAGAGACTCTCAAATTTATCAATGCCATGTTAAACCTCAAAACCGTGATCTTCACCGGCTCTCCTACGAACAATTTTCCTCTGTTTCTTACCAACCTATTACTGCAGTGCAAAATACAGGATTTTCGATGGCGCAAGGACCTAGACAGCCTTCAGATGCCTGGGGATGGTCAATGTGAAGCCGACATGCTGTATCCTCTAGCCACCGGATTATTGGCGTATGGTCTACTTGAAGTGACCACACTCGAACTTTCAGGACTGATCAATATTTTCACTGTGCGTAACATTTTAGATTGATGTACTACTACAATCTTTTCCTAACATCATTGTATCTAGCCTGATATACGCGTTAATGCCGGTCCATATACTATGGGACCCGGTATCATGAAACCCACCGATGTCAGATTATATTTGGTGCCAGGCACCATGAGGTTGTTTCGTTTGGGATTATCCAAGGATTTCCTTCTCGATTTATCCCACGTATGGCATCTGGACATCACCATATGTTCTGCAGATGCGGTTTTTGTCTTTGATGCAATCCAGGCTATGCCGACTATCGAGATTCTATGTCTGGACCTCACAGCCCTTACCAACTGTGAGCTGATGCTTGCTTGTATCGGAGGCCTCTAACAATACTGTCATAGGTCACCTGAAAATCTGTAAACTTCCCTGTCTGCGAAAGCTTCACTTATGTGTATGGGCGAAACAACTGCCTGCTGTCTCAGTGACATTTCGAGAGCTACCTAACCGAGGTGCAGGTGTCGAAGTCACTTTGGTCTTCTTTCACTGGAAGACAAATTTTGGGTCCCCAGATTTTCAGCAGGCATTACGCAGCCTTGACACTACCACTTCTGATGTCATTTTCCCCCTCAAGCTGTATATTCACTTTGGCGGTGTGACGCATATTCAAGGTTCCTTGGTTTTTTTTGATGACGTTGCAGAATATTTGAGCACGGGCTTGATGACATGGAAGGATAGTGGCAGATTAGAACTCCTGTGGGATATAGAAGAAGTTCGTATGTGGGAGAGCATGGTGAGGAGTATGCCTGCACCAACCTGGTGGTTAAATTACATTCCATTGCATACGTATATCATACACTAAAGTGGCTGTTTTCAGAGTGAACTAATGTGATCTCTTCCGTATATAAATATATTCACACCCCTTCACATGAAGAACACTCCACCAAAAACCTTCCTTCGAAAGCCTCAACTACTTTTTGAAAATAGGTAGTTTCGATGCAATCACGATAATCAGACCTGTCTTTATACTTTGTCACAGTCCAGTCAAAACCCTCCGAATGCGTTAACATCAGTCGCAAGCTAACATCAGTAGCACTGTCCTTGTTAATAATGGATGCGATATCGAGGAGCACATCAGCTAAGTCCTTCAACAGTTTCATGGCCTGTTCATGATGATTTGCGTATGTCCAAGTTCGCATATGAATCAACACCTTCACTTGACATGGTATCACTTTTAACATGAGAAGCGTCTGAATTAAGAGATGTCCATGATGATCCACACAGGCGAGATACAGGGTCTGTAAGCTCGTACAAGACTTGAGATCTAATGGGGTGGTCCATGAACCGTAATCTGTTATGGTCATGATGAACACGGTTATGAAATCAATGCAGAGAAAAGAAACTTACCATATACATAGAATCGTACCTTTCTCAGGGCCCTAGCATTGTAATCCACTAAACGCTGCGTTCCTTTGACATCAGCATTGTTGACTGCCTTCACAAACAGCGTTTCAAGATGCGAAGTGGCAGATAGCCATCAAATCAACCTTGTCACATCATCATCTGGCAGTGCACTTAAATGTACTGCTAATACTTTGAGGTTTCTAACCATTGCTAAGGTAGACAGCATGCTGACTGGCAAGTCAATGGCAGCTCCTGTCTCACTGTCATCGCTACCACTGCTGACCCCATTGTAGGAGCCCACCAGTGCCAGCTTCTCGATGCAAGGGAAGGCTTGGAGCAGGCTGAATATACCTGCAGGAGTTGTCAGGGAATTGTGCCAGTAAAGATGTCTGATCTCTACGTTCAGCAGTTCCGGTGGTGCGATTGTCGTAACACAGCAGTCTTTAAACCTGATGGTTTGCACCCTGGACAGCAACCCCAGAATCTTTACAATCCTCCTGAAATCAGAGTTGCTGGGCCCCAAATCAGGCTCACTTTCATGTAGGACACTTCCGAATGAGCGTATGGACAACTTTCGTGGTATATCACAAAGATGGCTGTGAGCAATGTCGGAAAAGAACCTGATTACAGAGGCAATAGAATGCCACACCTGTACATCTCCTTCCACCTGCTGTCCATGCATTTTGGGTGGGTACATATCTATAAAGATCTCTTGCAGAATGGCTCTGTGAGCAGAAGGCAGAAACCCTCTTGAGGCTAGAGCACAATGGAGAGAAGTATAGAGGTTGTCGAAGCAAGCCAAAATCATGAAACAGTCCACAAGCTCTTGGGGGATGTGTCTTCCTGCGATGAACATGGCGCAAAAAATGTGTGGAACAAGCTGGAAGGGGTGAGTGGAAATTTGAGGACGTGATAAATTTTAGAATTTTCATGAATTCAAATGATGGGCAGGCAGAATGACAGTGATCGTTTTAGCCATTTTAGCCACTTTTATCTCTGAGATTGATTGCTTATTCCATGCTGTCACTATTGGGGATTTCCATTACCACATGGAGTTTCCATACTTGGTCTTACCCCTTTCACTAAGGTACCATTGATCCCTGAGCAGAACTATAATTGATTCTCGGATGTGTTCGCAGTATTGTCACTACTGATCTTAGCCTCTCTTTCCACTTGCCTTATTTAAACTCTCGGCAGTTAGGTGTTTTATAGTGCAGGCAGTTTACCTGTCATTTTAACCACAAGATGCAGAACCTGGCACAGGAAACTAAAGATATTATAGCGTGCTATGTATCCTCTAGGCGCGACTTAATATCATTGTCAAAGACCAATCGTGCATTCACCATATCCTGCCGATGGGCCCGATTCAGGACCATTTACATCGTAGAGTCCTTGATGCCCTTCCCTTCCCTGCTTTGTGGATACAGTCTTAAAAATGATCGTCGGTGTTTAGGTACTGCGATATCAGCGAGTCGCAGTGTCTGTGAAGACTTTCCTGAAATTGGAAAGAATATCCACAGAATCATCTTCTATGCCTCATACCTGAAGATGGAAGATGTAGCTGCACTTGTTCAATTATTCGATAAGGCAACTTCAGTCAAGGAACTTGTTCTCATTGACACAGATGTTCATTTTTTTTAGGGATGTGCTATATACACTCTTGTCTGTGATGAACGCAATGTCGACTTTGATGATGAAAGGCTGCTCTATCACTTCCGATGCGTTAGCTATGATTAACCGAGGTAAGTAATAGCGTTCTTCTGATGAAATTATTATCTGAGATTTCCTTGTAGCTTCACCTGGGCTAATGAAGCTCGACCTTAGTGGCACCAATGATTATGACATCAACATCTCTATGGATGAGGAATCAATGAGAACTTTCCTGCCACCATGCGTCAGTGACTTGTGAGTAGGGATCCATTCTCTGGGGTCGAAGACTGACCTTTTATCTTATGGTTGGCTCCATGCCAGTGTCGTAAATCTGAAATCACTCAATACATTTAGAACATGCGTTCAACGTGAAGCCGATGTCGATGTCGCGAACATGCTGTTGAAGGAAACATTGTTGATATCCCATCTGGAATTGACACTCTTGCATAAGTTTTTTACTCACCTCTTGCATCATTTCATGCCTTGACTTTTCTCGTAGGATACAATGGACCAGCCTATACAGACAGGTACAGACTGTCTTTGGCACATCTCAAATGGTTGAGGACCTGCACTATAATTGTGCAGGGAGAAGCCGCCTTGGAATTATTACAAAGGTCGCTTGATACATTGCATTCACCTGTTTTAGTGTCCATTCAACTTCACATTTTGAATGCGCCTAAATCCTGGGCCAAGGATCCGCTGCCACCTTGTATCCAACAATTAGACCGTATGTTATGCAGTATCATTGATTTCTCGATATTCCAAGGAATGACGATTGCCTGTACACACGGGGGAATGAACACAAAGAACACAGAGAAGGTCGCAAATCGATTAAGGGCAAACATGGTAGGATTAAGAAAGGTGATAAACAGAAAATTTTGTACTGGGCACACTGTGTATTAGAAGGGATCCATAAAATAGCATCATTGTTGGGTTTCAACCAAGAATAAATAAGGCATTTTTTAATGATGTCTGCTAGACATGTGATGTGATGTGCACAAATATAAAAAGGCGTGGAGCTCCAGCTCTTACATTTCCATCTTCTCACCCAACAGTGTCACATATGAACAAACTATCGCAAGAAACCATTGACCATATCGTCTCCTTCCTGCATTCAAAACACGACTTAAGCGCCTGCTCTCAAGCACACCGCTGTTTTCTCCCTGAATGCCGTTGCAACCTCTTTCGTTCTCTTAGCGTCATGGAGATGCTTCCGAACTCTACAGGGTATCTCTGGATTCCTGAACACGTCGTCTTCACCGCCACCGAAGCAGCTGTCCAGCTACAGCGCTATTATCCCAATATTCATTGGTACATCAGAGAGGTTCGCTATTGTGGTGGCTCAGTAAAGCGTACAGACGTCGAAGGGTTAAAGAGGCTGTTCGCTCAGTTGCCTCTGGCGAAATCCTTCATACTAGAAGGGATCAGTAGAGACATAGAAGGAAGCGGGATCCTTAATCCTCTGGCAGGACCTTTGCATAAAATAGAGCACCTGTCATTTAGTGGAGGTATCATTTATGCGGAAGATTTGAACAAGTTGCTACCTGGTAAGAACACCTATTATGTCACTGCGTATGCCTTTTTCACTCATATCTGTTATCAAGGGATGTCGCATTTAACAAAAATTACCGTATCACCATCAACAGTACTCGAAATTGAGGCAGGTAGTTTGACACCTAAAGCTCTGGGCATGCTAGCCCACCTCAGGTTTTTGGATCTTTCCATGCCAGAAATGGACGATGACTTTGAACTAGAAGATAGCTATGAATGGATCCAGACTGTGCCTTTTCCAGCAGTGTGTGAACTTCATATCCATTCATACTGTCAATGGTGGTGCACGAGAGCGTGCTTTATCATGGATGCTCTTGCAAGTAGCACCATTGACAGGCTAGCGCTTGATGTTTATTGTACATTTCTCTCTTCTTTCTTCTTCTTCCTCGATGTTGCCATCTGATGTAAATATGATCAGCTGTTCTAGCATATGATTGTCTCAACTGTGACTGCAACCACAGCAAGTGCTTAATAGTGCTTGACAAACTACCAGAATTGCAGTCCCTCTCAATTGTTACTGGTGATAGTTGTCTCAAGCTTTTGATGCGTTCTTTGCATACAATTCCCAACCCAACGATTCGAACCATCAGCTTGACCATCATACATTTCCCTTGTAGGTGGACAGCGGCAGCCAAGAAAGACTTGGAAGAGGTTGACAAGGCCTTAATGGAGGTAGTAGATCAGGATGCATTTATTCAGATGAGCGTCCATTCTCAATTCAATACTGATGGGGGATACTCCAGAAAGGCGGCTGAAGGTGCAATAGAAGTGGGGTTTTCTGGCATGACAGGACTGTTTGGAAAGAGGGTCTTATGTCCTTAATAAGACAGGTTACCAAAAATGGGGATGACTCATACAATCTCAGATTAGCACCTACTTATCTGAGATTCGCAGATCTTGTCACTTCTTTTAATTTTGAATCGGAGATGGGAATATTCTACAAAATGTTACTTACTCTGCATCCATGTCCATGTCGAATTCAATTATGTAGCCAAACTCCACTGCCCACCTTCCAGGAGTACATTGCTCTGTGCTCTTAGTGCTTCCAGTACTCCGAGTATGTCTTTCTCCGACAGTCCTCTGGAGGTCATAGAGCGAATCCTTCTCCGGAGCATATCACACATTAACTGCAATGGTGACACTGGTGACAATGAGAACTGCACCTTTTGCACGTGACAGATCTCATTGATGTGCAGGGGATTCCTCTATGTGTTGCGACCACATATATGGAGGCAACTCTCTATCCAGTGCGGCACCAATGTCACTGTGCCTCCGCTTCTTTCCATGTTACACGATGCCAAGTCGGTCATAGATTTTGTGACTGTCGAAATGCATATCCTTCCTCTTGTTCAATGACTCCACGTCGTTGGGCCATTCACATCCATGCCCACTGCCCCAGGAACCAATCGCTCGTATTCTCCTAGAGATGCCATTACCAGCCTGATGATGCTTTTTCCCAATCTTCGCAGCACCTCTTTCTTCAATGTCATACTCGACAAATTACCCATACACCCAGGGGCATGTAGCCATGTGAAAGAGGTCAAGCTATTGTTTTGCAGTGCTTCCGTCATGGGCATGAACACGTTCATGAGTCATTTTTTGCATCTTGATACACTGCAAATATCCTGGCCTGAGCTGATGCTCCCTCCCATCTACTTCTATAAGGCCAAACTCATGTGAGACCGAGGCGTCGCCTTTGTCGAAACCATTCTGCATTGGCAAGGACTGGTATACAACAAAGGTTTACCTGTCATCGATACGCTTATTGTGTGGCCTGGATGGGACGCGGACCCTCTGGAGTGGTTCATTCATCCGAGTGCTTGGTATGATGACACTAGACTCTGAGCTCTTCATGTTGACAGTGAGCGCATCAATGCTGGGTGTTTATCCGCATTTTTAAAAAACGTGGGAGATACTTTACACGAGTTTTCAGCTATCAACAATGGTGAGTTGTTTTATCATGTTTTTCTCCACTGACTAAATCTTCGTCTTCTGCATGTAAAGAAAACCAAACGGTGCCGTCCAACCTATCATACTGTTCCGGCCTCTCTGTTTTGACGCTTACCACCCAGATTTACCTAATGTCACAGACATGCCAATTGTTGCTGTCACTGCCAATGTATTCAAACATTGACAAACTTACTGTCATTATTCGAGGGTGTTATTACATGCCCAGGATCCCCTCTGTCATGCGATATCTGCGCAGGATACTACGAATCAAATGCTGTTGGTTACATATTTTGACCTTCATCTATGAAACAGATTGGCCCACTCCCGACGAATCCCAATTCACGAAATTGACCTGGATATTAACCTCACTGTTTCCAGACATACGCATAGATGTCCGTGTCCGACGGTCCACTGTTATAGTCCCTGGACATGAAGGAACCTTCTCTGAAATGTCTTTGCAAGACTTGCCTGCACCCTTCCTTCGCCTACTTCGGGTACGACTGATTGTCACCAAGAAGGAGAGGAAATTTTATGATAGCAGCTATACGGAAACTACCGTAAAAGTTATTGAACTGTACACCTATCATTCTGGATCATGTTCTTCACAAAACTGATGTTTCCTATCCACTTAACAGAGACAATGACTCGGAAAAGATGCTCTTCCATGCAGCTTTGGAGCATTTCGCAATAAATCAACTAGCGATCTGTGAATCATTGTTACGAAACATGGTCCCTGTAGAAAATGTTTGATGATCGTTCGCATTACATCAAATGATATCAGTGGAAATAATGGCAATAATAGTATTGGACAGTACTTTCTCATGTCACATCTCTGATAAATTTTGATTCAGCGCAGTTGTCTAGTTATAAAAATGGTACATAACAGAGAATGTTTTTTTGATTTTCCAATAGAAATTTGTAAAGTCCAGAGAACCTCAGAACCTTCACATGTGGGCCTGTCCAAAAGAAAAGGAAAGGCACAGAAACTCAGCTTAAAGAGTTAAAAAGTGCATCCGAATCCCAAAGGGTTAAGAAGTACATCCAAATCTGAAAGGGTCAAGAAGTGGCACTCTAAGGCACTCTAAAAGGGAAAAGACCCAAAAATGGGTTTTCTTTGATGCTTCTTACCGCTTAATCCATAAGTGCTTTACTCCATATTCGACTGCAACTCTAACTCAGTAAGTCTCAGACTGCCTCTATTAGGTTTAACCAAATTTGCATGGACTTTCCTCCTTTCCTTTAAAAATGGCACTTCAAAATGAAGCATGCTAACAATAACACCTGCTTGAAATTTTAGGGAAAAAGACTCAAATCATGGCGACTTCTTTTAATGCTAAAGAACACCAAGCTCGTCTGCACTCCTATCGAGAATACGTACCGAGTCCTTATTTCCCAGCATCATATGGCTGGAAAACCTTTGGTGGTAATGGTCATATCTTAACTACCATTCAAAGTATATGCCCCAGCAATGATGGCTTGCCTCCTCAAGAGGTGTCTCTTATAATAGTCAGAGACGTACTTCCAACAAGATTTTGGGTCAACAAGTTAGGCGGCTGGAAAGAAGAATTTGGCTACATGAAAAACGCCAAATTTTCCTTGGTATTAGGAGAGCCACAAGATTTAGAATTTCACAAGGATTGGGCGAATGCAGTTGGAAGAATCAATGGTGCTACTTTGCAGATCACAGGGGGTCCTTTTGTTCACAACTGCATCCAAACAGAAAATGTGGCGATGCAGATCCATTTTGGGGCACCCGTCTTTGAACCTTTGGTGAGTTGGATTTCTTTCCCTGATCTCCTGGAACGTGCTCTCTCACATGCTAGTTCACATTAAAACAGGACCCCACAGCTAATATTTTAGACAGCATCATACAGACATGGTCAGTGGATGTCAAACATCAAGCCGGCCTAGATCAATTGAAGACAACTCACAGAGTTAATAGCCTGAAAGTCTTCGATATAGACAAATCCCCGGTACTTCCTCAGCACACGTCATCAGCACTGAAAGGCAAGTATACACCGTTATCCTTACTGTCTGCTGTCCTGACTTGCAATTTCTCTCAGATGCCCTTGTAGAGGTACATTTCACTATATAACACTGGGCCATTTGCCGAAACAAGGACCCAACACAGCATGCATTTAGTTGTACCATGAATCAGATCTGTATCTTGAAATGAGCACCCCCTGCAGCGCCCAACCCTTACAACAGCATTGCCCACCCTTATAGACCGTTGCTGACCTGGGCCAGAGTCCCTCCTCTGCAGAGCGCACCTAGCTCTGCCAATGACCCACCTACTCTGCCATCAAATGATGAGACCTCTCAGGTGCAGACACAAACTCCGACATTGATGCCAATGCAAAAGCAGTTACAGCCATCACTCTTTCCATCACAAAGTATCTCCCCATTCACTTCTTTGAGATATCCTGTTTCTGCAACAGATACGACGACTTTGATGGTCCCTGAGGAGGCAGCTGCAGAAACTCAGACCTCTCCTATCACCTTTCCATTCAAAGCATGGAGAGGGCCATGGGTCCTGCCCAGCACAGCGGAATGTTACCCTTTTCCACTCGGGGAGATACACGATGATACCACCAACAAAGGGGTGAACACAGGGCTGTCATTGGGCCCAGTGTCTGTAAACATCAGTAATGACACTAGGGTTCCTGAGGAGCTTGCGTCCCACCCTAACACCGATGGTACTTGCCTTAAGGACACTGGTGGAGAAACCGTTACATGTGTCAAAGCGGAAAATATCGTGCATGTCCAATCTTCAGGAGGGCAGGATATCATACGTTCGGCAGAGCTACCTTCAAGTTTAGAGAAAGAAATCACTCCTACAAAGACAAAAGTCCAAGGTAATAGAGGTAAGAGGAAAGTCGAGGAAAAGGTTCAAGAACGTTCCACAAAAGCCAAACTGTCATAAGATATGCAGGAGCAAATAGTAAGAAGCAAACAGTAGAAAAGAATAAAGAGAAAGATACAATTAACATATAAGCATGTAAAATTACCTAGGTGTTGACCAATCAACGTTACTGTGACCTTGTTTACTTCTCAATCTGTGTGTGATGACAACACTTTGAGACGCGATAGACTGGTTGGGACTCAATCGCACCCTGGCAGATATTTTTGTGTTCTTTTCAAGGCGCCTCAAGGTAGCTTCCATGTGTCAATGATGTAGTAGCTTTGCATGGTCAGAGTGAAGGCAAGGAGTACCATTCTTATTTATCTGAAGAAAGCCCTTCTTGGCAGAGTGCAAGACGTAACCTACACCGATACCATCAATGTTCTGAAAACTTGTCATAGTGTAAAAGATATACCATGACTTCACCAATAACCTGTTTCCCATGTTCCATCCTTTTTCACCTGATTGACTACCTTGCAGATATGACCCATCAACTTGTATTTCATATCTTGTAGTAGTTTGAAATAATGTGGTGCAGGGTTCAAGTCGCCATGGCCAAGATACTTAACATAATATATATATCTGTAGAGGTAGTTAAACACACATTTATACATCAACAACACCACATACCGGCCATTTCCCAGCGTCTGGACCAAAGAAACCCCACAGAAATTGAGCAGTCCTACAACCCAGTCTGACTTTGAATGTTTGATAACCTGACGGACAAAACACATCGGATATTGAATGATTTCAGTAAGAAACCATTTAATAGTACCTCAAACAACTTAGTCTCTTTTTCGAAATCGGTGGCCAGGCTCCATCCCAGGCGACTCTGCACGTTCAAAGGCATCCTATACATTGTCCACATACCACACTCTTTATCCTCATAGAGGTAAGTTGTGCACTGTTTTTTCCATGGTGCTTTGTCCAAAATAGTACCAGGAAACAAGTGACAGCACCCATCTAGAAGTCGTAAGAAAAGTAAGAAAAGTGAAGGGGTCTGATAATATTTTCATGACATGCCACAGCCAAGTGCTTTGTTCACAGCAGTACATCTTAAACTGGACCTGAAAGCCAAGCTCACAGGATCTTGATATTCTTCCCCAATATTCACCAGGTCGAACTCTATCAGGTGACAAAGATGTCCTGGAAGTTGTGCGTGTTGCAACAATCGTGGATGAAAAACATCGAACTTGGCTCCTTGACCCTGCCATTCCAAGGATCAACAATGCATTCGACCAAACAGAAAATTTAAGAATACTTCGTTCCAGATGTCAAAAGCATGGTCAGCTGCTACACTGATGGAACAAGTCACATTACGATACACATACAGTTCGTTTTTATAGCTAACCAGTTATCATGAATCGCATGAATCATGGCGAAGTGGTCACGACCAAATTCATCACGCACTTAATCTGCTCTTGTAGAGTAGCACAAATACCGACATGATCATACGACAGGGCCTTTTTCAGTCGGCATCTGATAGAGGCGTATAGTCATCAACTATGAATGTTTTCAGCCATTGTCCACAGATGAAACTTACTTGTTCTTGAGATGGGATGAAAACAGAAACGTGTAAGTGGCCTCGCATAACCTGGATAATCTCAAAGGACACTGTACGACCTCTCAAATTGGCATCCAAGGTGGAAGACCTACACGCAAAGATAAGAAGCATCACAACGGAAATAAAATTGAAACAGCAGCTTACCGGCCAGAAAGCAGATGACACTTGTAGCATACATGCCAAAGGTGTCAAATGCGGAGTGATCCCATTTGATTACCGTCCATGTAGGCTCCACTGATAGCCAATGATTTCCACAGAATTTGACCACAGCTCTGAGCCATGCATGGTAAGCATGCAATAACACCTCGGCATCATCTGAAATGGTACCCGTTAGAGAGTATGGCAGATACAAAGGAGACAGAAAGGGATTCGTGTCACTCTTGTATCAGGAAATCTAGCAAGACTATTAGTTATTATGAATAAACTGAAGCAGACATCAAGAGCATGCCTCAAACAAGCAGTCTCTGGTGTTGAAAGACAGTATGTAGCATCCGAAGTCAAATGCCACCCCTATGCCGAATCCGTGCCCTTCCGTGGGGAGAGAGGCTATCTGCTCTTCCCATACAGTATGAGCATATAAGTTGATGGACGTATGAAGATTTGGTCAAAGCTATATAACTGTCATTCAAATGATAGAAGGAAGAAACGACAACAGATGGCAAAGTAATGAGAACCTGAAAACTCCAGAATGTACCATCTCTGATGGTAGATACCCCTGACAGGTCACAGGTCCACATTGAGAAATGCCTCTGGGCCATCACTATACTCCAGTTCAGGCACTACTCTTGGATCAGGCCATATATTTTTCTGCTTGCTGACAGAGAAAGTGCCTCTGAAGATCGGAGTGTTATATCGCAACCTGACTATCTGATTATCTATGCAGTGTATCAACTCATAGAAGTACCTCGGTGTGAGCACTGACCTTTGCTGATTTCAACGAATCAGACACACGTCCATTCTCGTCTTCACCCCTGCCTGCTGAAGCTGAAGTAGCAGTCCCTGTCATATGCAACCTCTTCCTCTTTGTGAAAGAGTCCAAAGAAGATTGCTTCAATGCAGGTTTCTTGATTTCCTGCTCTTGGTTTTTCTGCTGCAAGCTTATGTCTTGACCTTTAGCACGATCTTTAGCAATGCTTTGGGGAGATCCAGGTCTCTTCAGATCTCCATAAACACCTCGTAGAATAGGGCCTTTGAGTGTATTGTCGCAACAATGAATGAGAAAGGACACAGCAAAGTCCATCTCAGGACCTTTAGGCATGATGGTAAGCAGACTCATACAGAGATAAGACAATGACAGTGCATCACATTGGTGACATCACATCACATCGGCTTTGGGATTTTTTTCACCTTTTTTATAATAAAATTAAAATTAAAATATATAAATAAAGCTGATGACTGAAAAGGCAAGACAAAATAAAGGGATAGAGAACAAACGAGGAATTAGTATGAATGGTGGGTTCACATTTTGCGTATTATTACAAACAAACATGGAAAGGAAGGTGTGCATATTATCTCCCTTGTTTAAAAAGCCCTGAATTACTACATAATTTACAACTGAACAGTTTCTATGAACGGCGGAAAACTGGAAAACACAGCTCAGATAAACAGAAGCAACAGAAGCAAAGTAAACTACTCCTAACCAACATCGATGGTTGGGTTGGGCACTAGGGGCCATGTCAACCCATCCGTTTTTAGCAAGGTCAATCCTTCCACCCGCTTGTTCACTTGTTCTGCTTGTTCTGCTTGTTCTGTGTCGTGCTGGTCAGTCGCAGCCCGCAGCAGCAGCTGCTGCTGCTGCACATATGCTTCAACCACCACAGTGGATTTCTAACACTTCTGATGCCATATCTCCTTCTGTTTATTGGTAGGGCATACCTTAGTGCCTGCTATGTGATGTAAGCAATGGAAGCAATCTAGGGTGCCTGTGCCTGTGCCTGCCTGCCTGCCTAACTTTCTCAAAGTCACATCGATGACATAGAACTAACAGGTAAATAAATAGGACAACGATTGAAGCAACCCTTAACACTCATGGAAGAATTCAACAGGGAATCCCCTTTTACTTTGTATGACCTGCAACGATCCATCAGTTGGTCAGGTTATGATTATGTTCCTACTGTTCGAGGTGGACCGTCTTTCAAAATTTACCAAAAAGGGGTGTATTCAGGCAGGATCGTCGAATATTCTGACACAAAGGATGGAAAAGACTGGGTGAAAATGGTTGAGCTATGGTCTCTGAACTCAGATGGTATCAGATTTCCTTTCTTTCCCAGTGTCTGAGATCCTGCATATTCTCCGCTCAATCTGCAGTCTAATCTGCACCGTCTTGATGAACACCTAGGCCCTTTTGACGATACCGAGCATCCACAAGAGTTTAACGCTGATGAGCCTTGGCTCCCTTTCATTGAACTGTATGGCAGAGGAGTGGTGGAATGGGCAAATGTGTTGTCCATGCTAATCCTAGAGCGAGACGACATTTGTACTATCGACGACACCTTGGTAGAAGACCTTCTCAGACGAAATTTTGGCCTTGATCTAGCACTGTGGAGGATCAAAGAGAAATTGAGACAGAGAGGTGCACCGTATTCCAATCTCCCAACTTTCCCATCCTCAGATATCATTCGGCATTTATCTGGCAGTGGTTCCTACCTCCCGGTGTTAAAGCATATAGTTGCCATTCAAAGGGGTCTATGACACAAGCACGCTTGCATAGCATATTATTCGGTCCCCCCTTTGCTGTGCCCTGATGCCCATCGACCTTTATCAGAGGTATTCAGAGGCTCCATCATTCCACCAGCAAACATGCAATACATGGGGTTGTGAGGGAACGGTCTCAACAGGGAACAACTCCCATGGTATCACAACGTCGCCAAAGTGCCCGTATACTTCTCGCATGAGCTCAGGACTCAAGAAATAGTTGATATGATCGAACACACAACCTTCTCGTATTCTGAGCTCACCATCATAGATGAATGTTTTTTCAACTCCCCTTACGACTCCTTTGCCATTGGGAAGGCAGTGGGTCTACTCTCAGATGGTCAGCCATCTGGGGCATGCACCTCAAGCAATCAGACCTTCGAAAGCCAAACCGTGTACTCTTCAAGTTGGTCGCAAGGTTACACTGAAATGCAAGAGCCCTGAAGTGACGAGACAGTGGTGCAGGCACTGCGGCAGCTGGGAGATGGATACCATGATTACGAGTGGAAAGAGGACATGTTCCCTGGATGGCACAGTGAGGTCTCAATAGGAATCGGTCAATGGATGATGGTAGACAAGCACAGGGTCCCTCTGTTAGAGGCACCTAAAATAGCGAAAGTTTCGGTACCTCTAGAATGATGGAAGCACGTATTCCAGGTTAGGGACAAATCCATTTTGTCTGAAACACAAGGGATCTGGTGCTTTGTTTGTGCAGAGAAAGATGACGAGCATTTTGCGTGTCGTAGTTATAGCACTTGGTATGACAGGGAAACATTTATGGTCATCCACTTTACTTCTCCAGGCAGCTTGAGGTTCCCATCTGGATACATTCTGTCCAATTACCACATAGAAGCTTACGGTGCACCACCTCCTCCTTGGAGAATTTATGATGTCTACTGTTACGATTTATTTATTTTTCTTCGTTTTACTCAGTCTGATTACTCATATGCAATCACCATGGACAGTTTCTCATGTACTATTCTTAGTGTATCCAAGTGTATTTAAGTAGAGCCTCAGCTGGTCTAAAAACCCAGCTTCAGCTAAGGTTTAATCTACCCAACATTGAACTCCTTGTTTCATGTCTATTTGCCCTTGATCGACTCCATATATCGCCTTTGACTTACTAGAGTATCATCCACCGAAGTGCGAGTGGTGATCCTAGTCCAATCTAAGTCGATTGAAGTTGGTTGATAACATTTAGCCGAAGCTCAACCCACATTGCCCAGCATCACGTCAGAGCACAGTACGCTGCCCAACATTTTCCCAATCCTACTTCTTGCCACGACATTGGTGTGGATAGTACCCTTTATACTACTTGACCCAACCTTCCCAATCTTGACTGCCGTTCTTTTGGTGGTCATTATCCGGATTTATATCGCGGCCCCGATTCTAGCAGCTCTGCTCCTAGTAGCCTACACTGGCTACCTAAGAGTTTGAGAAATCTGCTATTATGCCTCTACGCTGTCCGGCTACTTGTAATCCTAGCAGTATTGCTGCTAGCAATGACTAGCTCTCTGGCACCCGAATTCCCTTCAATAGGTGACTTCTCATTGATGACCGGCTCCGACTACGAAACCAACCTCAGCCTGATTATTGCCATACTCATTGCACTTACCATCCTTGTTGTCCGACAGCTCGTATGCCACTTGCTGAACTGCTACCAACCGTTGCAGTAGCTTTTGGATTACTCGCAGGGGCACTTCTAGTGCTCGCCGTCCGGGCAGTCTATAGGTGCTGTACCCACGCTCGAAGAGCAAGGCTCCCATTCCATTATGTCCTGCACCTCCCTATTCCATATCCAATAATCCCGTACCCGCACATTCCAGTCCAACCGACGCAGCCTACGCTTCATGATGGACGACCCATCACACCCTGAGGAGAATCCTCAGGTTCCGGGGAGTCTTCCCCCACCCCAAGAGCAGCCTCAGTCGACATCACAGATGTACGAGGCATCAACACATTCGCAGACATCCACGTATCTCCCCCAGGAATCATCGACCTCCCTTCCATCGGAGGAGAGGAAGGAGGGGATCTGGAGCAGGGCCAAGAAAGCGATGACGATACCGATACCATCTTCGAAGGGGACCAGCTCACAGATATCGAAAGAATCTGTCTCCAAGACCTCCTCGACAGCCTCCTCGCGGAGAACGAGGGGGATGAAGACGATTCCGGAGTCAGGAGGATCGACCGTGACAAGGGATACTACAGCGGAAGTAGCTATGAGGAGAGTGACGGAGGTCTCGGCCTTGGGGCCTCTGCCGTGACTACCACCCATCCAGTTAGAGCAGACCCCTATGATGGTAGAATTGTGCCAGGCAGGGGAAGAGAGTCAAGGGGGATCCCTGTGGTGTGGCACCCCTCGACAAGTTGGGTCTTCACCGGGGAAGAAACTCCTGTGGCCAGGACCTCAGCCCAAGACGCCGGACCCGAGACCACCCCTGTTCCAAGGACCGTTGACCTCCCCACCGAAACAGAAGAGCAGATCTGGAACACCATTGAAGCATATTCCCCGGACACTCACCCCGATCTATACACAAGAGACACCATTACCGGAAGCACCCAGTATACCGAGTACCCAGGAGATACACCAGAAGGAGAGGAGATCCTCAATTGGTTTAGAGGAAGTCCCTCCCCCAGCGAATTCCCCAATGTCCCCACTTTCACACTGTCAGTCACACCATGGGCGTTCGCCATCCCCCAACCTATCAATCAGAGACCCTGGACCGACGAGTACAACACACTCGTCCAGTCCAACTTCGACTTACGAGCTGCCCGGCTCACCCCAGAAGGAGAGGCCCTCGTGGACCAAGGAAGAACAGTGAGTGCACGCAGTCGAGACGCTGAGCGTCGAGCCATACAAGATCTCCCCTTCAACCTCCCCATTGAGGCAGACATCACGGATTGGGAGGCTCACCAGAGGTACAGAACAGCGGAGCTCCGACTTCGAGAGGCCTCCCGAAGAGCTGGAGATGACCTCGAGCATCACGAGGAGATCCTCGAAGACTTCCTCTTCGAGACACTCGATGAGGACTGCTCGGATCTCGCAGAGTATAACAGGAGGCGAGCACAAGATGCCAGACATCGAAGAGAGCACCCAGGACCTTGGCAAACCTGAGGAAGCCGGCAGTGGACCGCCGAGGAGGTTGCCAGCTGGGATGCCGAGCAGGCCGCCGCTCAGCGTGATGATGAAAGAAGTGATGCGGGACATTCGGAGGGTACTCACTGAGCCTATCACGGTGATACCCCCCATGCTGAACCTTCTGACCTGGAACCACTTATACGAAGTCATTGCAGAGGATATGGTGTATGACCCACAGTGGCTTCTTTCGGAAGCAGGAGAAGATTACTTGGATGCCCGACAATCGGGTGACCAGTATTTGATGAAGAATATCCTAGAGGTAGACACTTGGCACCGGGCAGCCATCGTTTAGAACATCTGCCACCCTGACTTCCCGAAAGAAGGGTGCGCTTCGTACCGACGACCGGCACCGATGCCCCACCCACTCAGTGTGTATGGGGCCGGAGGAGGAGGGGACGATAAGGATGATGGATGGGCAGATGTGGGGGCTGGACCCTCCAATCCCGATAAAGGAAAGGGCTCGACGGTCCTGCCGCAGCCTCCGAAGGCTCCCCCACTGCCTATACCGCCCAACTATCCAGGAGGGTACCCACCACCCGGGGATAATCCGAGGCTGCGATCCTTGCCACGACCTCTGAACCCGCCAGTACCCCCGGTACTGCCTTCACCACCAGACCCCATTCCCCCCTGGCAACTGGCCCCAGGGGCGGTGAATAATCCTTGGAACGATGTAAAGCCCAAGTTAATCATGCAGCCGGAGTACTTCACTGGAGTATCTTCGGATATTAACCAGTTTCTCCATCACTGCGAGATGTACTTCCAGGTGTTCCCAATGTACTACACCATGAACGACCAGGGGCAGAACCCCTATCACATTACGTTCGCCCAAGGATACCTATGAGGGAAGGCACAGGAGTGGTGGGGCGACCAATACTATTGCTACAGAGACCCACAGGGGCATTGGAGATTTCCCACATGGCAAGAATTCTCCCACGACTTGACCGTTCAGTTCCGCGAGGTGGCTGAATTGGCCATCTGGAAACAAGAATGGAAGAAGGTCCATCAATCGGACTTCAAGTCGGTGGTGGAGTTCTTTGCAAAGTTTGAATGATTGGCTCACAAGTGCGAAGAATTCGGAGACGAGAAGCAGATGTTCGAAACTGTGGAAGCCGCTATATGACCCATGGTTCGAAATACGGTTATGCATGGGGACAATGCGCGCCCCACAACCTATGCAGAGTGGAAATGGTGCGTCGAAAGGATCGACACCAACTATCGGTATAACATCGCCCAGGGACTGGGCAATAAGTCCTCCTCAAACCAAAGTGGCGGTTTGGATCGAGGCAATCAAAATCAATCATCGAAGGCCAGTGGCGATAAGAAGGACGCCACTGGCACCACTTATGGTGGAGCAGGGCAGCCGATGGAGATCGATAAGCTGCAAAACAATAAGCGATGCTTCAAGTGCGGAAATACCAGGTGGAGCCGGGACCATAAATGTCCAACGGACAAATCAAAGTGGCTTCCCATCAAACTCCCCCCTTGCAAGAAGATCCCCACTCAACGACTCCATCAATTACTTGCTGAGGCAGAGAAGGAAGAAAATGGGAAGGACACGAAGGTCGAGGAGGTCAAAGAAGAGAAGTCATCAAAAGACGAGCCGGTGTCGAAATAAGCGATTCGACGACATCAGCCAAGGACTTAGTTTCATCTGGTGCACGCTCCTGTAATACTAGTCGGACTCATACTACATATGTAGGTACTCTGTATGAACAATATACCAACTTTTTCACCGCATTAACCATCGAGGAAAGTGAGGAAGAAGAATCGCAAAACGCCAATGGCATAGGAGGGGATTTCCGCCGCTCTACATGATCTGCATCCAGCAATGAACCCCTAGGGGCTGTCCGACCTCCAG